AGAGGAAGCAGAGAAAGGGAAAAGAGGAAGAGAAAAAGCATCTATGCATGCCCAGAACTGACAAAAGTACACTTATAACTAATCAGTGGGTTTGCATGGCCCAGGCCAGTACTCACTGAGACAACAATACATATGAAAAAGCCCAGACTCAAAGAACACCATCTAAATCGCTCATTCCCTAAACATTCTAATGTCTAAGACACCTGGCCCACTTCACTCCACAACTCCACAGCATTGTAAGACTATTGGTAACACGTACAGTACAAAATGCAGAAACGGTCTAAGTTAGGAAAGGAAAGTAGGAATCAATCCGACATAGTTAACTGCAAGAGGCATTTATGAACTTCCAAACCTATCTCCTAGTGTGTCACCATTGATGCAAAAAGGCCTACCAACCACAAGTATGAAAAACATGAGGACTATTGAGATGGTCAGCAGGTAAAGGCCCTTACTATAGGGCCCTACGACCTGAGCCCAATCCTGAGGACCTGTTTGGTGGAACGGGACAACTTCCATAAGTTGACCAATGACCTCATTCAAGTGTACACACACATATGAATGTTAATATTCTTGTGAAAAAGGAAAAAACATGACACCAGCAACCTCTACTCAACAGCAGTATCCACAGCAACAGCAGCATCAATCTTAAAGCAGGCTGCTTTTATGTGACAAGTCACAGTTCTCACAAACAGACTGCAAAAATTATCTCCAGAGAAGACACTAATCATGACCAGGCTTTCTGTAAATTAATTTTTGAAGGTTGTACCATAGGAAAACTGCTTCTAAAAGCCAGCTAAGATTTAAAATGTTCTACATTTAATGATTTCAAGACAAAAACAAAAAGATCAGTACCTCAATATACTGCCACAATAAAATTCCTAGAGTCATTATTAGTAAGACAAATAATTCAAACTTAAAAGCTTGCTTCAAAGTAGAATTTGTCTGATAAGTTTCTACATACAACATAAAATCACTTATTAGCTCAATAATGTCATTCACACACACACATGCACACAATCTACATGTTTCACATACAAATTTGGGCCTGAAGTACTCAACACTAAATACCTTTTCTTCACTTTATTTTGTTTCTTTGACAGTCTCACTATGTGGCCCAGTCTGGCCTCAAACCCAAAGATCTGTAGCCTCTGCCTCCCCATTACTACAATCAGAGGTGTGTTTTATCACACCTAAGGGAAACTTCTTTTTTTGAGATTTATATTTATTATTTTTACTTATATGTGTCTGTGACTACGTAATTGAATGTTGCATGTGTGTGGAGGTGAGAAGAGCGTTAGACCCCTTGAAACTGGGAGTGAAAAACATAGGTGTTGGGACCTCAATTGCTATCTGGAACCACTGAGCCATCAAAACAAAGTTCTTTATAAAGTTGGAAATTTGTTTTAACAACTTTTTTTAACATTTCTAATAACAAGCACCTTTTTTTTAAAGGTAGTAACAGACACAAAAAATTATATTTGTCTAATAACGTGAAGCTTTTAAGGCTAAAGTTTCCAGCATACTTCATTTCATTGTTGTTTTGACTGCTTGTTGGAGACAGTTTCACGTAGCTTTGGCTGGCTTCCAACTCAATATGTAGGCCAGGCTAGCCTGTAGCTCACTGTGTAATCCAGGCTGTCCTTGAACTACGGATCCTCCTTCAACTGCTGGGATTAACAGGTATGCACCCTCACACTGCCTTCTCTCTCTTTCTTTCTTTTTTAAACAGACAGTTTTTTAAACATGAAATGAAAAAAATTAAGAAAAAAAAAAACAAATCTACATCTTCAACTTAGTACGTCCCTTTCAGACAAACATTTATGGAGAACCAAAAATGTGTCAGGCATTACAATGGGAACTGTGAGATAGTACAACACTTATTCCAGATATTTATTCAGCTTCCAAATGGGTTATAAATTTATCAGTCAACTTAAAACTTTTCTTAAGTTTTCATCCAACAGCAAAGCAGATACATGCTTTTCCTAAAAACACCTTTTCCTAATAAACTCACTTTTCACTGTTTGACACAGGTTATATACGTCTATGACTAAAAAGGTTCCATCTCTCATATACCACTGGCTATGTTTTCATTCACATGAAAAACAAGAACTTAGTAAATAAAACCAAACCATCTACAGAAACCAAAACTAGAAAAAAAAAAAAAAAACTTTAAAAATGGTCTAAACTGTGTGTACAATAGACAAATACTTGAGTGGAAACAGTGTTTGTATTCTTCTACAATCAGAAGCTTTTGAAACTGTACCTGGATGAAATCTTACAAAAGCAATCCTCTGGAGAGAAGCAAAATAAATTTAAAAAGGAAAAAAAAAATCCAAAAGAACTGTCAAAAATAGATGCCATTTACATTGACATTTCAATCCTGTAAACACACACTTACACTTTTCAAACACATGTGAATTTGTAATATTTTAAAGAAAAAATTTTAATATCAAAGTTCCGCGAGTTAAATCTAGATAGTAAGATACCCAAAGCTTTTCACACCAGTATGATAAAAAGAAAAAAGCTTTACAAATTCCCTAAAATAGAAAAAAAAAAAACAAAAAAAAAAAACAAAAAAAAACAAAAAAACACCACCAAAACACAAACTACTTCTTAAGACATTTCTTAGAAGCTATGCTGTGGTCAACATGTTTACTTCGGAGGAACCTGGCCATCCGTTTTCCACACAACATATCGTAACAAAGCACATGACAACTCCAGCAGCCACTACATCAACACAGAGACAAAACGAGCCATAGAACCCCAAGTCCTAAATACAAAGCGCAACAGGCCAGCCGAATCGGATCTCCAGAGGTAAACAGCACCAAACTGTTTTAAACACCTTCAGAACATTTCTGCTCTCTGCTTAAAATCCACGGTCCGGTTCACACAAGCAAACCAAAATCTCTTTCCTCGGTGTAACAGACCCACTACTGTTTGGAAACTCGGGTTACTGGACCGGCTTTCTGTTTCACGATGGAAGGTGCTGTGACTCGCGCAGTTGGTCCTAAGGCTCCATGCACAAGGCGCTGCTCCATCGGGGAAGCGCACGGCTTTGGTGAGATGGACCCTGACTCCACAACTCCTCGCCACCCCCCGCGGATGCTCGCACCGGCTGACCCCCTGCCTCCGGGGAGAGCTCCGCACCGAGCCGCCCCACGCACCTGCCCCTGCGAAACTCGCAGGCCCGCCGCGGCCCCCTAATACTTCCTGGACCCGAGAGCCGCTCGGGCTGGCCGAGCGACGCCTTACCTTCATGGTGACTCCGGGGCCGCGGTCCCCACGGCGACACCAGCTTCACCTGAACCTGGAGGGGAAACAAAGACACCCGGTCAGCACCACCGGCACCCTCCCCGCGCCGTCGGGGCGGGGGCGGCCCCGAGGGGAGCCGGGAGCACGAGCAGGCACGCGCCAGCCCAGCGCCCCCACCGCCCCCACCGCCCGCCGCCCCATTGTCGCGACTCCACGGACTTTTTCCTCCGTCCTCCACGATGACGCCATTTCTGTCAGAAAAACTCACAACAAGCCCGGGGTCCCGCGCGGCCTGAAGCGCGGCTGCAGCCGTCCAAGCCTACGGGAAGCGCGATGCCCGGGAGCCCCCGGGGGGCCGCGGAGCCCTCGGGGAAGCGGCCGGGGCCCTCGGGCTGCGGCGGGCTCGACCCCACAGCGCCAGTCCGCGTCCCGCCCGGGCCGAGGCCCACAAGTGGGAGCCGGGGCCGGGCACCGAGGACAAACAGCAACCCCGGCACGGCGGGCCGAGGCCGCCGCGGGGCCCACGGTGCGGCCCGGGAAGGGCGGCTCCGGCTCCGCACCGCGGGGGGCGGGGGTCCCCGGGGGCCGAGGCCCCCGCGGCAAGCGCCGGCTCGGCCCCCGTGGCCATCTGCCCCGCTGCGCGGCCCGGCCCGAAGCTTCCCCCCCACCGCCGCCCGCGGAAAAGAATGCCCCTACCTCCCGGCGCAGACGAGGTGGGAGCCCTGCGGCCGGAGTCCCCCGCTCCGCCTCCCCCCCAACACCAGCAGGCCCGGGGAGGAGATGGCGAAGAAGCTGCGGGTCCGCCGGCGCTCGGGGCTCGGGCTCCGGCTCCTCCTCCTCCCGTGGCGGCGACTGGTACCTTTGTTTGGCGGCCGCTCCGGCTCCCTCGCGGGGGGAGGGGGGCGAAGAAAAATCCCTCCCGGACGGAGCTCCGGGCCCCGGTCTCGCTGCCCTCCCGTGGACCGTGGCGGCCGACCTTCTGCAGCTCCCTCCGGGCAGAGGTCCAGGCGGTGGCCGTCGCGGCGGCAAGCTGCGGCTCGAGACTCTCCCTCCGCTCCGGCGCCCGAGCTCCTCACTCCGGACTCGACTGACGGGCAAACATCGCTTCCCCCCACCCCGGCCCCCCTTTCCCTTCTCCCCTCCCCTCGGTTCTTTTCCCCTCCCCTACCTCTTTCCCCGGATGGCTCCCAGATGACCTACGATTGGCCAGGATTCTTTGGGGCCCGCCTCTTCCAAGTTTCTATTGGTTTGAGCGATGCAAACAACGACGCCATTTTCCCACCAGTTCTATGGAAACAGAAAGTTATGCCTCAATGCTTCCTGGGGACTGTAGTCCTGTCTCCCATGCCTCTAGGCAAAACTCTTGGACATTAGAACTACCAAGTCCGAAATGCCCCTTGCCTGCGTTCGACGGGAGCGGGGAGGGAAAGGGGGCGCGGCCATAAGGCTGAGGGGCGGTGGCATACGACGCCTGCGCAGTGTGACAGGGATGGCGTATTTTCTTGCACCGAGTAATGCGGCGTCGCTGGCCGCCGAGGAGGGCGGAGATTTCTGTAGTGAAGTAGGGGGAGGGCCCCAAGGAGGCTTCGGGAAGAGTCGCGGTCCGAACTACAAAGTGAGAAGTTGATGTCGGTACTGCTAGGCTTGGAGCGGCGGCTGGAAGGCTGAGATCATCGTGGAACCGTGAGCAGCGGAGCGGCGGCAGGGGGGAACCCGGATGGGGAGCGGGGGAGGGGGCGGTACTGAGGAGGAAGAAGAAAGGTGGGAGAGGACCCGGATGCTCACCGGCTCGGGGTGACTGGCGGCCGGGTGCTGGGACGCGGGGGAAGCCGAGGGCCACCGTTGCAGTGCAGGGAGGAAGCCCGCCTGCGAGCTTTTTACACCAACGCCGCTTGGAGCCCTTTTTCTCTCAGAGCCGTCATTCGTGAAAGGTTCTTGCTGTGCGCACCACAACTGCGCTCCTCTCCTCGGTGGCCTGTATCTGTTCAGCTCAATCCAGAGCCTGCCTATTAAAAAAAAAAAAAAAAAAAGAGAAATATTTTGCATGAAACTTCAATATTTGTATGCGTGTTGATGTGCTGATTTCATCCTCGCGAGTGTTAGGAGAAGCGTTCATTCAGTCCTCATGCGGAAAGACGGTATGGACCTTGTGCAACTTCCTGAACCCAAGTCTGGTCAGACAAAGTGAAGAGTGATAGGAAGAAGTGAATTAGAGCTTTGGCTTAGGGAGATGTAGATAATGCTTTCCTGAGGGAGTGACGAGAGGGCTTGGCTCAAGAAGCCGGCAGGAAGACTAAGGGAAGAGCCTAAAAGAAAAGACAGCTCAGAGAGAATGTGTTGAAGACACATTTCAAGTACGAAGAACTGAGGCCCAGAGAGGTGAGTGAGGAAGGCTGATGACGGAATTTTGATGCAGCACTCTGGAAACAGAAGCAGGAAGATTACTTGTAGTTGTAAGACAGCCTAGACTACACAGACGACCCTGTCTCCAGAAGAAAAAAAATAAAAATCAAAAGTTTTAATCTGGTCCAACGGCCCAGTGAATGATAGGATATGTTGGATTCCCAACTTTAATTGCTAAAATGATAACTCACCCAAAAGAAGAGGAGGAGCTTAGCGTTCTGCTAAGCCTAGCGTTGTGGTGCTGACAAATCATAAGGCCAGCCCCGTTTATAGAATGAGTTCCAGGCTAGCCTGGGCCACACAAACCCTGTGTCAGGAAAAAGAAAATAGAGGACAATCAAGCTGCTGCAATAAATAACCCTTTTGCATAAATATTCACTAATCTACTCTTTGAACAAACTTCTAACAGTTTCTCAGTTTTGAAAGTGGGAAAACGGGATCAGACTCACACTGAGGTATTCTGTAGTGATTCCGCATGAAATTAACCGAGTTCATAGTATTTCTACATTCAAGTCTAGTGCATGAAAAGCTGAAAATTCTAACTCTGATAATTGACAGTCCTGAGTTAAAAAAAATTTTTTTCAAGAGTATATAGAACTCTTAAACTTCTTTACACTCTTAAGAAAATGTACATAACAGATTGACTCTCAGTAGTTGCACACATTGAAGTTCCCATTTTTCCCCAACACTGAGAATACTAAATGTAAATATTTTCTGGGAAAAGAACATTGAGTGCATCAGAATTGTTAAAATATGAGTGAGCAAAGGAAATATGTTTAATTCATCACTAGTAGAAAAATATTAAAGTTTTTAAAACTTCAGAATTTAAAGGACTCTTAATTTCTGTGCAAAAGTCACCTGCTATTAACCCAGAGGCAAATTTTTGAAAGGTGACCTTATTATTTTAAGTTAGGTTAAATATATTTTCCAGGATGCAGACAAGATAGCAGCCTGCTTCTTTTTTTTTTAATTAAATTTTTATTTTTTTAATATTAGTTAACATTTTATAGCAGCCTGCTTCTTGCTGCCACCCTAATTGACTTCGATGGCTGTTCACTGGTTTTAAAAGAAGACTGTATAAAAGGCGCTTTGGAGACTCCAGGACTTAGCTTTATAGAGAATCATGAGCAAGTGCAAGCCTTTGGACTTCACCCAAAATGAAAAGAAAAAGAACAGTTATTTTTTATCGTACTTTTAATCCTCTTCCCAAAATGAGCTGTTGCTAACATTGTCTCCTTCCTTCTTTGCATCTTCTTTATCTAACCTCTAAGAACAGAGTAGCATGTCCAGCATTATTAACTGTAATCCTACCCCTCCAGAGGCCAAAGCAGGGAGATGAAGAGTCCAAGACAGCCCAGACTCCATAGGGAGTTCCAGGCCAATCTTTTTTTTTTTTTTTTTTTCAGGCCAATCTAAATAGAATACATAGCAAATCCCTGTCTCAGGGAAGAAAAAAAATGTTACTAAGTTGGTATTTGAAATATTTCAAAGTATTTTTATGAACGTTCTTTTCCTTATGTACTTAATATTAACTGCCGGTCCAGGCTAATGTAGAACTTTCCCTTCGGAAGTGAGGGATTGAGACAAGTCATGTAGCCCAAGCTGGCCCTGAACTCCTGATCCTTCTCCCCACTTCCACTGTGGTATTACAGACATATACTACCACATTTGGCTAGAAATTGTCTACTTAGGGTGTCTCTCTCTGAATTTGTATTGCTGAACTGTTTATTTTGGTGGTTTGCTGATTTGTTTTTAATGTACATTTGGCATATATTATTAAAAAATTAACTACCAAAAATTAGACTCTTTAAGCTGGAAAAATGGCCCAATAGGTAAAGTGCTTGCTGCGAAGTCATGAGGACCCAAGTTCATCCCTACCATACATAGCTAGATATGATTGTACACACCTGTAATCCCAGCAATGGGGAAACAAAGACTGGAGGATCCCTGAGGCTTACTAGCCAGCAAAACGAGCAAACTCTGGGTTCAGTGAAAGGCCCTATTTCAAAAAATAAGCTAGGAAGAAATTAAAGAAAATAACCAATGTCATTCTCAAGGTTCCACATACCCCACTGTGATGGTTTGAATGAGAATGCCCCCCCAAAGGCTCATATTTGAATGCTTGCCGGTAGTTGGTAGAACTGTTTGGGGAAGGATCAGGAGGTGTGGGCTTATTGGAGGAGGTGTGCTGGGGGCAGGCTTTGAGGTTTCAAAGGCTCCTGCCATTCTTGGCTAGCTCTCTGCCCCAGGCTTAGGAATAAGATGTTAAGCTCTGAGCTACTGCTCTCATGCCAGGTGTGCCTGCCTGCTCGCTTCCAACCATGATGATGGTCACGGACTCACCATCTGAAACTCTAAGCAAGCCTCCAATTAAATGTTTGCTTTTATAAATTGCCTTAGTCATACATCGTGACGTGGTGGTGGTGGTTTTGTTGGTGATTTTGTTTGTTTTTTTGAGACAGGGTCTCTAGACATATCCCTGACTGTCTTAGAACTCACTGTGCAGACCTCACTAGCTTCAAACCCGCAGAGATTCCCCTGCCTCTGCCTCTCCTTCTGCCTCTGTTTCTCAAGTACAGAGAGTAAAGGCATGCGCCACCATACCCAACTGTTCATAGTGTTTCTTTACAGCAGTAAAGCAGTAACTAAAACAACCACACACACAAAATTAAAGGAATGAATACTTTTTTTTTTTTTTTTAAGTATGCTTTTCACTGGCCATGGTGGTATACATGTAATCCTGGCACTAGGAGGCTAAGAAAGATTGTTCATTCTAAGCCAGTCTGAACTGCATTGGAAAATCCTGCTTCAAATTTTAAAAAAGTGTGTGTGTGTGTGTGTGTGTGTGTGTGTGTGTGTGTGTGTGTTCAATCCTAAAAAGCAACCTGAACAACAATAAAGACAGCACTTTCATTCCTTGATTTCCATTTACTATCTGTCTTCAATAAAGAGCTACCAACTGAGGGTACAGGAGAGATGGCTCAGTCAGCAAAACATCTATGAAGCATAAGGAGCCAATTTCCCCATGGAAAAGCCAAGTTCCACACCCCACCCCCATTATTAACCTCAACACTAGACTGGACCAAAACAAGCATATTCCAGGAATTTGTTGGCCAGCCAGTCTAGCTAAATTGTCAAGGCCTGGGTTCAGCAGTGGATCCTGTCTCAAATATAAGGTAAAAAAAAAAAAAAATGAGGGCTAGTTGTGGTAGCACACATGAGTAGGATTTGCTGCAGGAGGACCACAAGTTCGAGGCCAGCCTGGACTACACACTTTTTGATCACTTTTTGAGGGGGGAGCAGCCTGACCAGGCCACAGAGAAAGACCATGAAAGACAGCCCTGATGGGACCTGATAGGCTAGGGTCAGATGGTAGGGGAGGAGGTCCTCCCCTGTCAGTGGACTGGGGAAGGGAAATGAAAAGAGATGAGGGAAGGAGGGCAGAATGGGAAGAAGACGAGAGTGGGGGCTACAGTTGGGATACAAAGTGAATAAATTGCAATAAATAAATTATATTAAAAAAAATGATTGAGGAAGACCCAAGTTGTTATATAGCCTCTATGCATTCATGTATCACACACGTGAATGCATGTACACATAAACATTTTATATTGCAGGTATTTGTTGTGTATGTGTGTGAGCACCAACATGCCACAATGCTTGTGTGGAGGTCAGGATAGCTTTCAGCTCTGCATTCTCTCTCTCTCTATTTCTCTCTCTGTGTCTCTCTGTCTCTCCCTCAACTTTGTGTATAGAGTCAGCAAATGGCTCTGGGTAAGGGTTTAACCATCAAGTCTGACAACCTGAGTTGTTCAGTCCATGGGATTCGTATGATGGAAGAGAACTGATTTCCTGTTCTGGAGCCTGTAAAGTTGGTAACGCTAACCATCATAGGTGTGTTCCAATTCTAAAACCTGTGCCATGCAGCTCTTTGACCGGCACTAACCATGAAATACTATTATGTAATCATATCTTACTTGGTTTTATATTTATATATACACTATGAATCCATGAAAGGTTATTAGAAGAGGGTTTGTGATCCTAAAGATCCTAGCAATGATCCCCAAAGAAAATACAACTCATAACACCTAAAGCTTGCCACAAGTGTCATAGTTACTAGAAAAATGGGGCCTCTAAGGAGAAAAGTGGATACAAGCAAAGACACAGAAGAGAAACAAAAACAGTAAAGGAGGGTCCTGCAAAGCCCATGGTTGAAGCAGGGCAAGGTGGCATGCTCTGTAGTCCTGGTAGTTGGGAGTAGAGGCAGAAGAATCAGGAGTTCAAGGCTAGCTGAGGCAACATATATCTTGTTTCAAAAAAGACATACTTACATGCCACAGTTTATATTCTAGGAAGTATTGAAGTAAATGCAAAATTCAAAATAATGAAGCACTAATTAAATAATTGCATTCAAGTTAGTATGCATCTTAAAAACAATCTCTGAAATTTATTGATTTGAGAAAAATGTTCTACACAAATTACAAAGCACACCTATCTTAATTTGTAATCATTATAGAAATGTCTGAGGCTGGAGCGATGGCTCAATGGTTAGGAGCACTAACTGCTCTTCCAGAGGACCTGGGTTCAATTCCCACCACTCACACGGCAGCTCACAAGTGTGTGTAATCCCAAAATCTGACACCCTTACACAGACATTCATCCAGGCAAAATGTCAATGCAGTAAATAAGATTAAAAAGAAGAGGAAGAAAAAGACATTATTAGCCAGGTGTGGTGGTGCACACCTATAATCCCAGCACTCAGGGAGGCAGAGGCAGGAGGATCTTGGTGAGTTTGAAGCCAGCCCGGTCTACAAAGCAAGTCCAGGATAGCCAAGACTAACAGAGAAACCATGTCTCGAAAAAAACTATTTAAAAATAATAATAATAATAATAACCTAGAAGTGTATGGTTTTGTGAATTTATTTTGGCATTTATTTGATGTCAAAATTTTTTCTTTATGATTAACTAGGAAAGCTTACTGTAAGCTATCTAAGGAAACTACTTAAAAATCAACTGAACAGTCTTATCAGTGTGATCAGTGGAATGAAGAAATTTGAGGTATAATTTATATGCCACCCATCCAAAGTGCATATATAGTTCAAGGTGGGTTTAGTGCTTAAACCCATAATTTTAAGGCCATCTTGGGCACCATAGTCAGGCCTTCCATGTTAGGACAAAGCTCTTCACTTACAATGGTGCCTGTTTGTAACTTCAGCACCGAAAACCCTGTGGCAAGATGATCACAGTTTGAGGCCAGCTGGGCTACAATGTAAGACCTTCTTCCACAACTTATTACAGTTTGATTGCAATTTAATAGCTTTTAATCTATTTGCAGCATGCAGCCATCACCACATCCTAATAACGTTTTGATCCTATACATGCACACACATGGGACACCTTCATTATTCATTAGTGGCACTTGGTCCTTGTTTTTTCTGAGCCAAAAATCACTAACCTGCTTTCCCATCTGTGTAGATCGCCAGATTCAGAACATTTCCTATAAATAGGATCATACAGCCTGTTCTTTTGTGGCTGGCTCCTTTTGCTTTACATAATGTTTTCAAGGTTTTATACATGTAATGTTTTGCTATATAAATAAAATTTAAAGTTTGACATTCTAAAAACACCTTGATAAAAATTCCTTTGCAAGCTAACACTTAAGGATAATTTGGTTCATGAGATCATTTTTATATTTCTCTTTTTAACAGGTCAACTTTGAAATTTATAAAACATGGAGAAGACTCAAGAGAAAGCTGAAAGAATTCTTCTAGAACCCTATAGGTACTTACTCCAATTACCAGGTAACAAACAGTTCAGTTATTATTCATATAGCATAGTTTTCGAGTAGTGGTCATTTAAATGTTAGCAACAGGAAAGATTAAACTTAAATGGTTCTTGAGACCTTTCTATTTGAAGTGATAACATTATAAGAGGAATTATTCAAATAACTATATAATGAAATGTTTCTGTTTTATTGAGACAGGGTCTCATTAATTCAGGCCTGGGCTAGCCGAGAACTCAAATGTGTAGCTCAGGCTGGCCTGGAATTTGTGGTGAACCTCCTGCCTCTGCTGGAATTACAGGTGTGCTCTGGTCAATCCTAAAAACTTATTCCTTTCTTTTATTTCCTTTCTTTAACTATGTGTCTGTGGAAGGGTGTGTACACAGGAGGGTGTGTACACGAGTACAGGTGCCTGTGGTCAGAAGAGAGTGTTAGATCCTCCGGAGTTAGAATCACAGCCAGTTAGGAGCCACATGGTGTGGGTGCTAGGAACCAAGCCCAGGTCTTCTATAGGACTTTAACTCTTAACTCATTCTTAATCCCTGAGCCATCTGTCCAGCCCAACTCTTTTTTTTTTCTTTTATTAATTTATTTAGTGGGAATGTATGTGGTGCTCAGAGGATCCTGGGGATGGAAATTCAAGTCATTACGCTTGGCTCTAAGCATTTTACCCCTGAAACTTAACAACTAAACTTTTTTTTTTTCCCTTGAGTCAGAATCTTGCTGACCTTGAACTCACAGAGATCCATCTCCTCCTGTCTTCCAAATGCTGGGATTAAAAGTGTGTAGCCACTACACCCAGACGAAACCCAACTTTTTTTTTCCCTTTTTAAGTTCTATGTATATGGAGGTTTTGGCTCTGTGCGTACATGTGTATGTGTGTGTGTATGCCTAATTCCTGAGGAGGCCCATAGAGGGGGTTAGTTCTCGTAGGAGCAGAGTTACAGTTTTGAGCCACCAGAACTGTGTGTGTGCTGAGAATCAAACCTGAAACTTGTAGGCGAGCGGCCAGTGCTCTTCACCACTGAGCCATCTCTCCGGCCTCAGAAACTTAACTTTTGTATAACTATTTTCTTGAGGCCTGTTCTGAATTCACAGGATTAGAAGCTCATACGATGTTTTTACTAAATGAACTGCTTGTGATTTTTAACTACCACTGCTTTATGTTTTTAATTTAACTTCTACTGCCAACTACCACCTAAAGACCTTTCTCAAGGTTTCCATGTGAAAGAGAAAATGCTACTGAAAAACTAGTGGCCCTGGTCAACACAAAGACTAGTGGTCCTTGTTTAAACTTAGGATGTATAAAATGAAGTTGTCCTGGTCTCTAAAACCTTAATTTAAAGGAATAATTTAAAGATTTTTTTTTATTTGTATTTTTTTCAGTGACAGGGTTGCCCTGTGTAGTTCTAGCTGTCCTAGAACTTACTTTGTTGTCCAGGCTGGCCTTGAACTCCCAGAGATCTGCCTGCCTCCGCCACCCAATTGCTGGAATTAAAGGCTTGCACCACCACCACCTGGCATAATGACAGGTAATTTTGTGAGGAAATTCATTGGCAAAATACTTAAAGTTTTTTTTATGACAGATAGTACTCATTGTCCCTGAACAGAAAATAAAGAGATTAAAGTATATTTCTTTAAAAATGCCCCTTCTACCCCCAATTCAATGATACAGGTTAAAACTAAAACCCACTGGAGTGTTTAGACTTTCTTGTGGGTCCTCATTTTAGAAAGCTTTGGTTTTTGTTTTTAATTGTGTGTATATGTGTGGTAGGGATGGGAAGTATGTGCACAGTGATCACAGTGTGACCAGTTTTGAAGCAGGTTTTTCAGTTTTTCTTATAATCACGTTTTAGAAGCCAGTGAGCTGGCTTAGCTTGACACCAAACCAGAGATCTGACTCCATCATCAGGATGTACTCCTGGAAGTTGTCTTCTGACCTGCACAAGTGCACTGTGGCGTGCGCACACTCACACAATTAAGTAAGTGTTTTTAAAAATCATTTCTTAAGTAAAATAATGTTTTTGTGGTATTCTGTGTTTTAATTGCAGGTAAACAGGTGAGAACCAAACTTTCACAGGCATTTAATCACTGGCTGAAAGTTCCAGAAGACAAACTACAGGTATCTAGGCAGTCTGATTGCTTCTCTGTTCTGTTCCAGCGGGGATCACATCCTGGGCTTTAAGCATGCTGGCTGGGTGTTCTGCCACTGAGCCATATCCCCAACCCTTAGGCAATTCTGATCTCATTCTTCTTCCACATTTAATCACCAAAGAATTAGTAGGTGTCCCATAAAAATACTCCAAGATCCTTCTTCTGTTAATGCTTCTGCAATCTTATATATCAAGATTGTTAAATATCTGTTAGTTGTAAAATCTTAAGATACTGATACTTGGTACTATCATCAAGTACAAATTGTTTTGGCCAAGCATGGTGGTGTACATGTGGAATCCCAGCACTTAGGAACTGGCCACACAGGTAGACTATGTCTCAACAACAACAACAAATCTAGACAGGAGAGATGGCTCTGATGTTAATTAAGAGCATGTACTGCTTTTGCAGAAGACCTAAATTCAATTCCCAGAACCCACACCAAGTGCCACAAGGTGCATGTAACTGTTACAGCCTCGGGGATCTGATGTCTCTGACCTCCACAGGCACCTTCACTGACATGCACATATCCCACACCGACTCATACACAATATTTGTTTGTCTTTGTTTGTATGTCTGTTTGTATGTTTTTGTTGGTACCCCTTTGTGTGTGTGTATGTCTTACTGGAATTTTCTTTCTCTTTGGTTGCTTTTCTCTAGATTATCATTGAAGTGACTGAAATGTTGCATAATGCCAGCTTACTCATAGATGATATTGAAGACAGTTCAAAGCTCCGACGTGGCTTTCCAGTAGCACACAGCATCTATGGAATCCCATCCGTCATTAACTCTGCCAATTATGTCTATTTCCTTGGCCTAGAGAAAGTCTTAACACTTGATCATCCAGATGCAGTGAAGCTTTTTACACGCCAGCTTTTGGAACTCCATAGGGGACAAGGCCTAGATATTTACTGGAGGGACACCTACACTTGTCCCACTGAGGAAGAATATAAAGCCATGGTGTTGCAGAAGACAGGTGGATTGTTTGGATTAGCAGTAGGTCTCATGCAGCTGTTCTCTGATTACAAAGAAGATCTAAAGCCCCTGCTCGACACACTTGGGCTCTTTTTCCAGATTAGAGATGATTATGCTAATCTACATTCCAAAGAATACAGTGAAAACAAAAGTTTCTGTGAAGACCTGACAGAAGGAAAGTTCTCATTCCCCACTATTCATGCCATTTGGTCAAGGCCAGAAAGCACCCAGGTACAAAACATCCTGCGCCAGAGAACAGAAAATATAGACATTAAAAAGTACTGTGTGCAGTACCTGGAGGACGTAGGTTCTTTTGAATATACCCGACATACTCTCAGAGAGCTTGAAGCTAAAGCCTACAAACAAATTGAGGCCTGTGGCGGGAACCCTGCACTAGTGGCTTTAATCGAGCATTTAAGTAAGATGTTCACAGAAGAAAATGAATAATGTTAGCCGTTCTTGATTAGACTCGATAGCTTATTTCAGTTGAAAATGAGGAGTGGCTTCTTCCTATTTATCTTTTTAAGTACTAGACTCCAAAAACTGAGTAAATGAGGCTGATGTGTATGAAGGTGTTTTCTTTTTTTACATTTTCTTTTTTTTTTTTCTTTTAAGATTTATTTATTTATTTTATTATGTATACAGTGTTCTGTCTGCATGTATGCCTCTGTACACCAGAAGAGGGCACCAGATCTCACTATAGATGGCTGTGAGCCACCATATGGTTGCTGGGAATTGAACTCAGGACCTTTGGAAGAAAAGCCAGTGCTCTTAACCTCTGAGCCATGTCTCCAGCCCGAATGTGTTTTCTTATCACAATTCCTTTGCATAAAAATACAAAACTGAGGGCTGGAGAGATGGCTCAGCTGTTAAGAGGCTGCTCTTCCAGAGAACCCAGGTTCAATTTCCAGTGCCCACAGAGAAGTTTACCACTGTCCACTACTCCAATTCCAGATGATCTTCTAGCCTTTGCAGCCACCAGGCACACACAAGGCATACGTGTACACAAAGCACTCATACACATTTATTTTTTAATTTTTTAAAAAAACAAAAAAAAAATTGAAAGGATCAGCAATCACACATTACAGGTCATAAAATGTCACTAAATGTGACCATCTCTCCCTACTACCCCAAATGTTCTGGGTTTGCCAATAAAAAAGACTTATCTTCCCAAAAAACTTTCTGCTTCCTAACTATAGGATTTAGAGGGGCCTCAGTTCTTTGGTGAGAGTTAAAAACAGACTTCTTGGACAGGTCTCTAGCTAACTGGCCTAAAGACCCTAAATGGTATAGCTAAGAGTACCTTGGTTTTGTGTCTCTGAAAAGACAGAATGAAATGGACTCTTCTATCTTGACACCCCACAAATTCTTGCTTTTGGCCAAGGAGGCTCCACTTAGTTCACATCCTGATCCCAGTAATCTCAGAAATCCAGAGGTAGAGTCAGGAAGATGGAAGTTCAAGGTTATGCTCAGCTTAGTGAGTTTGAGGCCAGTCCTGGCTATATGAAACTTTACCTCAAACACCTTTTTGTATTTATTTATTTTTTAATCTTGAGACAGTTTTCACTACACAGTTTTAGCTGGCCTCTGCCTCCTGAGTGCTAGGATCAAAGGTGCCTCCCACCATGCCTGGCAAGGAATGTGTAAGTCAGTTTATTTCCTTGCCTAATTAAATTAATTTTGGCCTGGTGCTAGTTCATGATTCTTCTGTCATTCTTGTCTTGCTTTTATCAGTAACAAATGCTAAACAGTGAGTTGATGTTTTTTTAGAGTCATTTTATCTTTCCAGTAATCAAAATCCCACTCTTTACCTAGTCTGTGGTAACAACTGTTAATTAAGAGGAGACCCAGGGGCCTGGAGAGATGGCTCATCAGTTAAGAGCATTGGTTGCCCTTTCAAATGACCCTGGTTCAATTCCCCACACCCACAAGGCAGCTCACAAGTGTATGTAACTCCAGCTCCAGGGGATCTAACACCCTCACAGAGATGCACCTGTAAGCAAAATACCAGTGTACAGAAAGAATTATCAGAAGAGACCAAGATCATGAGTAGCTCAGTACATTTAATAAAATTATTTTATCCACTTCGACTTGTGCTACAATAATGCTTTTCCTGCCTAAAAATATCTTGAGATACCCTCTTAGATGTTGGATTTTGCTCCGTCAGAAACATTTTAAGCAATGTAAAATACTTAATTTTCTAATTTATGCAGCTTCAGAAAAACATTAATTTTTCATGCCAACCTCCAAGAATAAAAGTCAGTTGTTTTGCCATAAATCGCTTGACTCAGCAAAATCCTTTTTTATTTCTTTGAGATAGGTCTGGCTTTGTTGTCTAAACTATTGTTGACTTCATTATCATCCTTCAGCCTCTGGATTCCAGTCCAGCACCTGACTTTAGCAAGATCCTAATCTATCCACTCTGCTCTTCCACTATGGTGTCTTCCGCTTTCCTTCCTCCACTCTCTAACATCTGCCCCCTCCTCACTCCACCTTGGGAGAGCTTGAGATCTCCTGCCAGATCTGAATGGATCCAGCCAGCTACCTTCTTCTGCTTCCTGTGTCACTGGGTGCTGCTGGGAATGTTTTCCTGGCTGCTGCTGTAGCCACTACCACCCTGTTAGGCAGCCTCCACTCCTGGGCAACCTGTGTTATTTGTCTCTTCCTTTCCTAACAGAAAAGGAGGTACCTCACCCAGCAATCTAATGTCCTCTTATCTTTTTCCATTCTCCACCTATCATAAATGGAGTCTCCTAACTTTCTTCAAATCTTTTACGTAAAGTCTGCCTTCAAGTAGTCTGCCTTTCATTTCAAAAAAATAAAAATAAAAAATAAATGTAAACCAGATGAGGTGGCACATGCCTATAAATTTAGCACTTAGGGGCAATGGAGATCAAAAGTTGAGGGGTTTTATAGGCTATGTAGTAGGCTGGGACTAACCTGGGTTTTCTAAGAGTTTGCCCTGCAGCTTTAGACTAGACTTGCGCTCAAGAGCCCTTTTCCTCCCACTCCTGAGGGCCTTGCCCCATCCCAGGCTGTAATCCTCTGGGATTATCCTGTGAATCATTTTAAATCAAGTGCTAAGAGAAAGGGGAAAGAAATTTATATTTACACATTTTAATATTAAATCAGTTTTAGCTAGCATCGTGAAAAAAGCAAGCAAAACAGATGAGATAACAAACATAAACTCATAGGGATAGAGGCAGACAGGGCTGACCATGAAGCCAGCATCCCAAGAGAGTGCTCCCGGCCCCAGGGGTGCTTCAGGACCTGGCCTAGGCTCAGCCACTTTGAGAGATGGCACCTAAGAAGCCAGCCACTCTGAGAGATGGCACCTAAGAAGCTTGGCGATCAAGTCCTGGGACCTGATGTGGAGGAAAGCCCAGATCCACCTTGAGGACGCATCTGTATGTCTCACTGTGAGTGCTGCTCTTGAAGAGTGAAGCTCCCGCCAGCAGCTCAGAGCAGAGCTCCCGGTTTATCACAGACCCACCTTCTCATTCTCTCATCAGTCATTTCCGGAGGCCAGTAGTCCAGTGTCCCACACATCGTCTTTTTCCTGAGAGAGGGGATGCGCACAGACCAACCAAAGTGTGCAATCCTCACCTCGCCCCTGAGGCCCAGCAAGAGATTCTCTAGCTTGATGTTCCTGAGGTAGGTAGGTCAAGCGTCCACCAACTCCTTCATTATCGTGGCTGGGCACTGCTCAACTAGTTTCTCTGAAGCTCCTCAGAGAGCTTGCCCTGTGGAGCATAGTCCACAGGGTAATTAAGTACACCCAGTGAGCATCATGGAAATAGTTGTACAAGCATAGGATATTTGGGTGTTGTAGGTGCACCTGGATCTCCGCTTTCCTGCGAAGCTGGTGCTCCAATCCCTCCTCTGTCTGAGACTTGAAGAGGACCTTCAGGACCACAGTGAAATGCTTTTCCTTTTGCTGAGCCAGGTACACATTCCCAGATTTCTCCTCTTCAAAGTCACTGATAGTGAAATGCCTCCTGGTTGAGGTTGGCTGGGCTCCTGATCGGTAGCAGTAAACCACTCTAAGATCTGCACTGAAGCTGTTTCTAGGACGGATCTGGCCCGCGACCAGCAGATTCCAGCTGTTAACTATTGGTTATCTTTGTCATATTTACACACCTTTAATCCCAGCACTCAAGTGGCAGAGGCATGCATATCTCTATGATCTGGTCTACATGGAGAATTCCAGGCCATAGTGAGACCCTTTCTCAATTAAAAAAAAAAAAAAAAAAAGTTTCAAATATTGAAAAAGGCTCAAAACAATGGGCCCTACAGTAGTGTGAGTTCATATGTAATATAATTGCCATTATACTTCCTCAACCCAACAACCCCACTTGGCTAACTGCAGACTCATTCTACTCAATTCATCATTTTTTTATTTACATTTTTCAATATGTTGAGAGTTAGCTGTAAGGTGAAGGCATTGTTTTGCACTGTGCTACTTGGTTAAAAATACAAAACCCAGTGCAGTAGTTCATGCCTGTAATCCCAGTGCTCAGGGAGGCAGAGGCAGGTGGATCGCTGTGAGTTTGAGGCCAGTCTGGTCTGCAAAGAGAGTCCAGGACAGCCAAGGCTACACAGGGAAACCTGGTTTCAAAAAATAAATAGATAAATAATATCAGTTATACAAATTTCAATGTTAACATACTAGTTCAAGTCAGCCATGTACAGTATTTCCTAACAGTTAATGGACACTGACACAGAAATTCCTGGGAAATATTTTTCATGCTTTTTTTTAATGTAATTATGTTTGTTTATTATATAGCTCATGCTGGCCTAGAATTTGAACTTGATATGTAGACCTGAACTCAACTCAAAGATCTGCCTGCCTCTTTGTCCAAAGCACAGAGGGATTAAAGGCATGTACCATCACTCCCAGAAAAGCCTATTTTTTATACAACACTACTTTAGAGGAATCACTGACTTTGTATTGTTTATCACTGTAGTTCAAGAGAAAGCTGTATCTGAGGAAATAACCCATGAAGCAAGGTTGTTGGACCTCTGTTGAGTGTCTTAGTCACTGTTCTGTTGGGAAGAGACACCATGGCCAAGGCAATTCTTACAAAAGAAAGCATTTAACTTGGTGACTGGATGATAGTTTCAGTTAGTCCGTTTTCAGCATGGCGGGAACATGGTGACATTCTTGGCACTGGAGCAGTAGCTGAGAACTACATCCTGTTCTGCAAGCAGCAAGTAGAGTCTGGGTCTGGCATGAGGTTCTGAAACCTCAAAGCCCACCCATAGTGACACTATTCCTCCCCCCCCCCATACACACACAAGGCCACACCTCCAACCCCTTCTAAATATTCAGTTAGTACTCAGAAACATGAACCTAGACAGTCTTTCATACTCAACCACCACAGTGAGGTAGTTGACTGCTAATGCTAAGCAGTTAGAAAATGTGTAAGTCTTACTGAAACTTGCCCAGTTGCTTAGTAGAAATTGTAAACCCGGAATAAACATTTCTGGAGAGTTTTTAAGGAGATTTTGGCTTTATTGAGTATTCTAAAAAGATAATCAGTACTTTTTAAGAAAGTAATGGAGTG